CCCCTCCCCCCGCGCCCCCCAAACTGCTGATCAAGCACGGGGGGGGCTCCCCCAGCGTCACCTGGCTGGGGGAAGCCCGGGATTCCCCCCGGGACCCCTCCCAAAGGGGGGACCCCCACCCGCGGGGGGACCCGCAGAGGGGGGGGGGCGGGGCAGGGGAGGAGGAGGCGCTGCCCTCGCGGAGCCGCCCCCCGATGATGAAGACGTACGAGGCGCGGAGCCGCATCGGCCTCAAGCTGAAGATCAAGCAGGAGGCCGGGCTGAGCAAGGTGATCCACAACACGGCGCTGGATCCGCCCGGGATCCCGGGCACCGGGACCCACCCGGGCCCGGCGCAGCTCAACGGATCCCTGGAGAAAAAACCGCCGATGCCGGCTCACCCCGGCGCCGCCGCCGCCGCCGCCGCTCCCTGCCGGCTGCCGCTGAGGAAAACGTACCGGGAGATCAGCCGGGAGCACCGGGAGATCAACCGGGAAAGCATCCGGGACAGCCGGGAGATGAACCGGGAGGTGAACCGGGAGCTGATCCGCGAGCTCCCCGAGCACCGGGAGCCGCCGCGCTCGGAGCGCCGCCCGGTGATCACGGCGCTGCGCCGGGATCCGGGATCCGCCGGCCGCGTCCGGCCCGGGAAAGGCCCCCCGGAGGAGCCGTCGGACGGGGAGGATGAGGAGGAGGAGGAGGAGGAGGACGAGGAGGAGGAGGAGGAGGAGGAAGGCTGCGGGACGTGGGGCGGGAAGCGGCGGCGGGCGGAGGCCGAGGTGGACAAGGCGTCGTTCAGCAGCGACAGCCCCCAGGACGATTCGCTGAGCGAGCACCTGCAGAGCGCCATCGACAGCATCCTCAACCTGCAGCAGCCCCGGGGGGCGCCGGCAGCCGCCCCGGCAGCGCCGGCACCGGCACCGGCACCGGGAGCCGCCGCCCCGCCCTTCCCGGGACCCCCCCGGCGCGGCCCCGAGCCCCTCGTGCCCCCCCCCAGCCACAACGGCGGCCTCGGCGCCGCGCGGACGTGCACCAGATGACGGCGGGGGGACGGCGGACACCGGGATCGGGACACCGGGAACGGGATACCGGGATCGGGAGCTGACCGGGAACGGGATACCGGGAGCTGACCGGGACACCGGGATCTGACCGGGAACGGAGCACCGGGATCCAGAACGGAACGGGACACCGGGATCTGACCGGGACACCGGGATCAGAACAGGATACCGGGAACGGGACACCGAGAACGCACCGGGACGCTGGGATCTGACTGGGAGGCCGGGATCAGGATCGCACCGGGACACCGGGATTGGGAGACCCAGATCGGAGCGGGACACTGGGATTGAGATCGGACCGGGAACGGGACACCGGGATCAGAGCGGGACGCCGGGAACAGACCGGAACGCCGGGATCAGAACGAGACACCGGGATCGGGATCAGGAGACCCAGATCGGACCGGGACACCGGGAACGGAACGGGATCAGGACGCCGGGCTTGGACTGGGATACCGGGAATGGCGCGGGAACGGCAATGGACCGGGATTGGGAACGGGAACGGGAGCAGGATCGGGGTTGGGATCAGACCGGGAATGGGAATGGGGTCAGACCAGGAATAGGAACAGGAATGGACCAGGAATGGGATTGGGATTGGGATCAGATCGGGAATGGGAATGGGATCGGGATTGGGATCAAACCGGGAATGGGATTGGGGTCAGATCGGGATTGGGATCGGGATTGGGATCAAACCGGGAATGGGAATGGGGTCAGACCGGGAATAGGAACAGGAATGGACCAGGAATGGGATTGGGATCAGATCAGGAATGGGAATGGGATCGGGACTGGGAATGGGATTGGGATTGGGATCAAACCGGGATTGGGATTGGGATCAAACCGGGATCGGGGTCGGGAATGCAGCCCTGGGACTGGGGAGAGCAGCGGGAATTTGGGAGCACGGGATCGGCCCCGAGGAGGGGAATGGGAAATTCAGGAATGTGGGATCGGCCCCGGGAGGGGAAATTTGGGAATGCAACCCCAGGAGCCAAAAGCGGGGCTGGGGGAAGATGGGGAAATTCGGGAGAGGGAAATGTGGGAATTCAGGAGCTTTCCCGGGATCAGGGAGAGCCGCGGGTCCAGCGGGGTCAGGATGGGAACGGGAAACCCCAAATCCATCGGGAATGGGATTGGGATTGGGAATGGGATTGGGATTGGGATTGGGATTGGGAATGGGATTGGGATTGGGAATGGGATTGGGATTGGGATTGGGATTGGGAATGGGATTGGGATTGGGATTGGGATTGGAGCCCCAAATCCATTGGGAATGGGAATGGGAAACCCCAAATCCATCGGGATGGGAGTGAGGAAACCCCAAATCCATGGGATTGGGATTGGGATTGGGATTGGAGCCCCAGATCCATTGGGATGGGAATAGGAAAACCCCAAATCCATTGGGACTGGGATGGGAAAACCCCAAATCCATCAGGAATGGGATGGAAATGGGAAACCCCAAATCCATCAGGATCAGGCTGGGAAAACCCCAAAATCCCATTTTTTTTGCCCCGAAAGTCTCATTTTTAAATCCCAAAATCCCATTTTTAACCCTTTTTTAACCCTTTCCCTCCATTTATCTCAAAATCTGGGGGTTTTTTAACCCTCTTCTCCCCAAAATTTGGGGTTTTTTAAACCCTTTTTTCCCAAAATTTGGGGGTTTTAACCCTTTCCCTCCCGCTGTTCCCGGAATTTGGGGGGGGGGGTTCGGGGTCGGTTCCCGGATTTTTGGGATGGAGAATTCCCGGAATTCCCGGGGGAATTCCCGGCTGGAATTTTGTACTGTATTTATTGTCCATAGCGCGTTTTTTTAAGGAATTCCGGACATTTACTATTTCTGTGTAAATTAAAATCGCTTTTAATTAATGAACGGAGTCATTCATGAATTGATTAACGAACGGGTTAATTAATGATTGCCGTGGGAAAGGGAAAATTCCCAAAAAAATGGGAATTTGGGGGAGTGGGGGAGGGGCTGGGGAGGGATTTGGGATTTGGGGGATTTTTGGGGTTTTGGGGAATTTTTGGGTTATTTAGGGTTTGGGATTTTTGGGATTTGGGGCTTTTTTGGCATTTTTGAGGTTTGGAATTTTGGGGGTTTTGGGGGATTTTGGGGATTTTTCAGGGTTTTGGGTTTTTTGGAATTTGTGGGGTTTGGGGCTTTTCAGATTTGGGATTTTGGGGATTTTTGGATTTTGGGATTTTTTGGATTTGGGGGTTGGGATTTTTGGGGGTTTTGGTGTTTGCGTTGGTTTTTTTTGGGGGGGTTGGGATTTTTGGCATTTGGGATTTTTGAGGTTTTGGGGGTTTGGGATTTTTGGCATTTGGGATTTTTGAGGTTTTGGGGGTTTGGGATTTTTGGTATTTGGGATTTTTAGAATTTTTAGGACTGTCAGGGTTTGGGATTTGGAATTTTTGGAATTTGGGACCCTCTGGAATTCCCGGGTTCCTCCACGTTCGTCCCTCGCTCCCCCCCAGGGGCCCCCCCGCATCCTTAATTAATTAATTCATTAATTTATTCCCTCCCCAATAATTAATTCCCGTTGCTCTTTTATGGCGCAGCGCTGCCGGCGGGCTCGGTTTATGGAAATTTATGCAAATTAAGGGTTTTTTTACCCCCCCCCGCGGAGGTTTTTGAGGCTCGGAGCGGCCGCGCCCGCGGCTTTGGGGCGAAATCCCTGGAAAAGGAGCGGGAAAAGCGCCGGGAAAAGGTCGGGAATAAAAAAAAAAAACAACCAAAAAAAATCCGGGAAAAAAAACTCCGGGGAAAAAACTCCGGGAGCGGCGCCGGCCCCGCCCCGGCCGCGCCCGGGGGGGGGGAAAAAGGGATTTTGGGTGGAAAATTGGGATTTTTGGGTGGAAAAATGGAGATTTTTGGGGCGGAAAATGAGAATTTAGGCCCCGCCCCGGCCGCGCCCGGGGGGAAAAAATGGGAATTTTGGAGTGGAAAATGGGGATTTTGGGGTGGAAAAATGGGGAATTTTGGGGAGGAAAACGGAGATTTTTGGTGTGGAAAACCGGGGAATTTGCGGTGGAAAAATGGAGAATTTTGAGGCAGAAAAATGGGAATACCGGGGTGGAAAAATGGGGATTTTGGGGCGGAGAAATGGGGATTTTGGGCAGAAAATGGGGATTTTCTCCCGGGCAGGGAGGGCAAAGGGATTTTTGTGGAATGGGGAGAGAGGAAATGCCGGGAACTTTGGGGTTTCCGCCTCTTTGGGTGGGGGAAGTTTGGGATTTCTTGTTTTTCTGGGAAAAAAATCCCCAAAATTCCCTTTTCCTGCTCCACTTCCGGCAGGGAATCCCAAAAACTTCGTGTTTTGGACTCGTTTTTATTAAAAAAAAAAATCCCTAAAAGTTCCTTTTCCGGTTAGATTTTGTGGGGAAAAAAAACGCGAATTTGTTTTTCTCGTTATTTTTACAGGAAAATAAAAAAAAAATCCTCATTTTCCCCTTTGATTTTATAAGGAAATCCCTAAAACTTCATTTCTCTGCTTATTTTGACAGGGAAAAAAAACCCCAGCGCCCTCATTTTCCCTCAGTTTTCGGCAGCTCCTCCCTGAACTTTCACTTCTGGCTCGGATTTATGGAAAAAATTCCTCCAGCTCCGTTTTTTCCCTCCTTTTAAGGGAAAAGCTCCCGAAAACTTTGTTTTTCTCATCACTCTTGCAGGGAAAACCCCTCAAATCCTCATTTTTCCCCTCGTTTTTCCAGCTCAGATCCCTAAATCTCAATTTTTGGGACGCCCCCCC